TCGCACACAAGTGTGCTACACTACATTCAGATGGATCTTCCCTGAAGCTTGAAGAATCCTCCCTGGAGCTTGAAGCAACTCCTTCACTACCACAAAACCATCAGTATCCCGTCATCCGTGTCATGTTCATGATTTTTCTCGCCGTCATCTGCAGCATCTCCATTTCAATGTCTCTTCAGGCGTCAGCAGGGGTTGGCTCTTGGGTCGCCCTAGCGTAGCCATGTCGTCGGGGAAGATGTACGTGGTAGAGTTGGTATGGTCATGGGGCCGATTTGAACCAAGTGTCTCTGAAGCCTTTCTGCAGCTTGTCGGAGAAGCTGCGCATGCCCCTCCCGGGATGGTAAAGCTGAGTGATTCGGATTCAGACTTAACAAACCGCACATGACATGACTGGCTGTTTTTGTGTCATCCTGAGAAGTCGTGGGGGCAGCATGAAACCCTCTGGAACTAGTCTCTTATGTACTTGTGGGAATCCGTCCGGAACCGAGCCGTCCTTGTGGGGCGGGTTCATGGCGCCCGTGGTCAGAAGCACGCATGGGCGCAAAGACGACGATGCCGCAGCCCGTGCCTATTGCAAGCATCAAGGAGGCATTGCTTGGAGACTTAGAGGTGACTTTCCCAGCTTTGGCGGGCCTTACAAGTTTTCCCTCTTTGCTTCTATGCTGCTCCGTCTCGAGGGGGCACCCACCAGAGCACAGCCCCGCCCCACAAGAGAAGCAAGCAAGCAACAGAAACGGCGATCATGCTCTCAAAAAGATTGGTGCCCAAAGCCCCTGCAAACTGCGCCTCGGCCAGGCGCTCTGGGAAGCATCGCGGAAGCGGCCAAGGCTCGGCAGATGAGCCCCGGGCTGCCATGGTGCAGCCCATGGGGTTCCAGGGGACGAAGTGGCGGGTTGTTTCGCGATGCTACACTTGGTGAAGGCATTACTTCGGCTTTACCACTGTCTTGTGGAGACGACAGCGACGAACAGGTCCTGCCTGTTGGACGGTGCAAACCGAGATGGGTGAAGTGGCTGTGATCGGGAGTAGCAGTGGGAATGCACATCCTGGCCAATGCCATGTACATGATTTCTCACCTACGATTCATGAAGTCATTTGTCAGCACGAAACCCGATGATGGAGAATGGCGTCATACAAGTGGGAGTAAGTGTGGCAGCGTGGGCGTGGAGCTTCGTGACCCAAATGCTTGATGAGGACGAGCGTCATGGCTTAGAAGGCTCAATGCAAACACAGGCGTCACAGGCGGCCCAGGGAAGGCTTACACGGAAGACCATTGCGGTTAGAGCACCGAGCCTTGTTTCCTGCAGCCATAAAAGAGCCTGGACACCAAGCGTTGTGCGTTTCATCTCCAAGGTTGCACAAGACCTCACGCCTTTAGCCTACAGCCCCTACGAGCCAACTCTGCCTGGGTCCGTTCGACTCGCACACTCGCGCAAGGCAGGCGCGGATTCCAGCAAAGTGTCCCTCATGACAAGGAAGGCCACATGAAAGCAAGAACTACCAAAGAACGCATAAAGATGTAAGAACCTAAAGCTTTAACTAACCTCAAAAGCACGTGGGCCTAACTTGTCAGGCTCTCCCCACGTGGGTCTCAAGGCTGAGTCCTATGCCGGGTGCGTTAGGTGGGCTGCCGAACTTGTGTTTTCTTGAATCCTCCGAGTTGGTTTTGGTTTTATGGTGGTGTGCTGCTGCCAGCCACTGGGAACGTCCGAACAGGTTGTGAGCCAGCTTTCTCCACAACAGGCCTGCGAATGTACGGAAAGTCATCCGATGACCCGAGCTTCCAGCTCAGACGACTTTGGTTCCGCGACGCAAGACCTATCGGGCCCTTCAGAGTCGGCTTTCCAGTGACTGTCCAGACGGCTTTGTGGGGACCAAAGAGGCTGCGAGGGCAGCAGAAGCGCCAACTTCGATCTCCACTTGACGAGGGTGGGCTGAGCATCCAAACGCGGGCAGTCAATCTTTGTGGCTCGTGTCTCGCCAAAGGGCTACCAAGGGGATTCGAGCCTGCCTGCTGCAACTTACTAGTGCTATGAACTCGCAGGTCTAAATGCGAACCTCCAGTGAAAGGGCGTCACCGAAGGAAGTTGGGGAAAGCCAAGCCTTTGCAGGGGCTCGCGCGTCAAGGCTAGACAGAGGTCGGTCATTCGTTTAGCGAAGCTGCGGATCGAGTCGACAGCGATGCTCGAGTTTCGCAGGCACATTGCTTGCAGAAACAATCGCCCAACCATCTTCATGAGTTCATAGGCAATGGAGTAGGAGCCCTGATGACACCAAAACAAAACTGGGACACTCTGCTCATGATGTCACAGACCTCGTCCTCACATTCTCTCAAGCAGCGAAGGTCTGAGGGAGCAGAATCACAGCACAAGTTTTGCCGAGCCGAACAGGGAACGGAATAGGCCACTGTTTCAGCTAGCATGTCATCCTACGTCCCTCCGGCATGGATGCTGCAGACCGTAAGCTCTGCCGGATCGCCTTTCCGTGAACTTCCTCAGAATGCCTATCAGCATCCACATCCGAGACGGTCATTTGCTATTTGCACTCATGAACCTTATTCTGCTTATTATCCTCATCTTACGCCTCAATCCGGACGACCAAGCCAACCGTTCGAATCCTTGAAGAGGCCCTACACGCGCGGCCTCAAGTATGGTAACGTCATTTTGCTGATTGTATCTTCGTGAGACAACAAAGCCCAACACCTGCAGCTTCTCCAAGTTAGTGGCAAGGTTGCTTTTTGTCTACCTTTGTGTCCAGGCGGCCAGAAAATCGCACCAGCACACGAGAAAAGCATCAGAGACCCCCCTTACCTCTATCAAGAAGTCTGATGTTCTGGTGGGCTGTGCTGTCAAGCACGGCCCGGCTGGTCGCCGGCGGCGTAGCCAGCTTCCGACAGCGACAATCGGGAAAGGTCCATAAATTGCAAGATTCGCAGGAACAGCTCTCGTCAATGCCAAAATATGACTCAACGGCCCATGGGCCGGAGATCAAAATCAAAGTGCACCCGACAGACGAGACACTGAGCTGCACTTGAGACAGCAAGCGCGCATTCTATGCATGTTAAAAAGCGCGAATTAATGACTTCTACAAGCCAGAGTTTCTCCCCGACGCCAGCTCTACCATCTAATCGCAAACAGATTCTTCTCGGTTGGATGAGACATTACAGCCGAGATATTGCACGCCGACATGATTAGTCCTTGTGACCTCCAGCTTGAGAAGCCGACCAATTAAAGATCGTGCAGAACCTCCTGCCGCAGAGGGATCTGTGCCTTCCGGCGACTTCTGCCTCGATGCGCCGCTATGCATCAGGGCACAAGAAGGTGAGCTCATAGGTGGTGCCATGCGGACAGTTGTGATTTCCGTTGCCTCGGGCCAGGTTGGCAGCGAACCTCTCACTCTCTCTCTCGCAGGATTCGGGGGATGGCCCCTCTTCTTCCGCAGGATGTGCGAAATCCCCGGGCCACCAGGGCCCCTTATGTGTGTGGGGCTTTGAAGGGATTGTGCAAGCATGGTTTGGCTCGCCCGCTTAGACGAAGCTTATATTCCCGATGTTAATTTAGCGTGTCCCCCGAACCAGTCAAAAGAAAGAATCTTACTTGCTTACGTTTAGGGCCGGGGTTTAGGGAAGCGCGCTCCCCACGCCCCTAAATCTCCCCCTCTTTCTTTCTTTCGCCAGGGCTGTGGTAAATCTCCCCCCCACTCTCTCTGTCTCTCTGTCTCTCTCTCTCTCTCTCTCTTCCTTTCGCCAGGGCTGTGGTGGGGAGTTGTCTCCCCTCTCTCTCTCTGTCCGTCTCTCTCCCCTGTTGCCCAAATGCTTCGGAGCGCCTCCTAACACATGCTGATCTAGGTCACACCTTTTCCACAAAAGAATTGCGGCGTGGTTTTGAAAGGCTGTCGATGCAGTCTTTGTCTCTGCACCGAGCGGCTGTCGTCCAGGTCGAAGGCATAGGTCTTCGGACACAGCCTGTGAACTAAGTGGATGTACTCACCTCGGCAAAACAGAACACACATAATTTGGGGGATATGTTTCATTCTGCGTCTGCACCGTCGGTCCACAAACACACGTAGAAATAGCATGGAGCCCCGTGAAGCCTCCCTGCAAGTTCCTGTGATTCCTGTGTTCTTCTTACAGCGCCTCCAGGCCTAATCGGGATCTGGAGGCAGTGCAGTCCCTCGAAGCCTCGACTCTAGATCCAAGCATCCCCGCATCCCCGCCACTACCATGCAGACTTGGATAGAAACAAAGCTGGGCCCCATATACAGATATACCGAGACACAAAAATACGTGTCTGTATACATATATATAGAGAGAGAGAGAGTAATTTACACACCCACATACACGTGTGCAGATATTAACACGCTCAAACACACACGTATAGATAGATAGAAAATGTATGTGCATGTATATATCTATACTATTTGCATGCATGCATGGATGGATGGATGTACACGCACACCTAGATACCTATCTATCCATCCTTCTATCTGTCCGTCCAAGTACGTGCCAATGTATCTACCTAGCCAACTTTATATCTACCCATCTATCGATCGCCTTCCAAAGACACACAACACGCAGTTTCAGAAGAACCCTCAATCCGCCACAAGAGCCAATGCCACATCCTGCGAGGTGCTCGTGCCATGCCCAGGGCGGCCCCGTGCGTGGCAGCCCATCAGCTTTCCGTTGTAGTACTCCTCCGGAGACGGAGATCTCAATTATATATTTGGGATAGAGCACCTGTGCAAACGCTGCAATCGGAGGCCGCCGTCCTTGTTTGCGGCTGGGCAGGCGTTGAGCGTCAGATCCGAGCAATCCAAGTAGCGGCCCAATCCTTGCAGGCGCTCACAATGGCTCACACCCTAAACCCTAAACCCTAAACCCTAAACCCTAAACCCTAAACCCTAAACCCACATCCCGGCCCAAAGCTTCCAAAGAGGGTCCCCGCCCCCCCCCCCCAAAAGCGCGCCTGGAATGGAGCAGCCCTGGAGCCTCAGCCTCGGTCGTACACGGGAGACGGCACGCTCCATAACAGAACAGAATCATTGTGCAAAGTAACCCGGGAATCAGACTCCATAACAGAATCCTTGTACAAAGTAACATCGGAATCAGGAAAGGACAAGCAAACTGATTGAAGCAAGCAGCGTGTCAGTTCTATTGTACGAAGAGGGCTGGGCTTGACTATGGACAAGGCCCTGTCTTCCAAACCCATGCCGCACCGCCCAGGAAAGTCAATGCTTCGAAAGCTATCATGCTGGATTTTCTCAGAACCACCCTCCCGGAGTTTCACATAGTTTCACATCTCTGTATCATGTTGGCGCCGGGATGCTGGAATGGCAGCGTATACCCATCCACCATGCTCATGTCCTGAGGCAAGGCGGCACCGGCTCTGAAGGCTGCTAGGATTCCTAGGACTCGTTAGGCTCACCTCGGATTGCCGTCCCAGAAGCGTAGTAGTCGCTACGGCTTCCAAAAGTTGCCTCGTCAGAAGTGCAAGGCACGCAGCGCCGTCTCCGCTCATTACGTTGCGGGGCCCGGGTGAGTGTCAGGGCTGAGGAAATTGTGATCGCGCGGGGGCTCCCTATCATCTCAAACATATAATGACTAGTAACCAGTATGACGCAATATTCAAGATATGTATTGGGAATGGAAAATGACACTTTGCCAGAAGCCTCGAACTTGGTGTCCACATGCTGTTGGCAGCGCCAGTTGCCATCAGTGCCACATGGCTGGCCCCTACCACCACTCCTAGGCCCAGGATTTCGGCCCCTGCCCTGACTCTTCGAAGGTACGCAGTTACGCATTCATGACCCTCATGTAATGGCTCGTCATTTTCATTACGTCAGAGCTGGCAGCCAAGCTTCTGACCAATGTAGCAGCCATTGCCATCAGAATTGCACCTGTCAAGGCATTGACGGCCCCCGAACTGAAGTTACTCCTGCCGTCGCCGGCACAAAAAGATTTTCGAAATCTACCCAGCTGGTCGATAGATGTCAACAGGGCTTGCCCTGATTCAATATGTAGCGGAGGGGAACCGGTAGAATCCGGTAGAATGCTTAGTTGTAACTTTTGCTCTTAGATGTAACTTTTCAGCTTTTTCAGCAAAAGGACTTAGTTGTAAATTTTGTGGCTCCGAAAACAGCAAATCTCTGCAGAGAGTTGCAAAACAGGCATCTTAGTTATAGCCTTTTTCGTGTCTTCAGCACCAAGCCACTAACTTCTTGTGGTGAAATAATTGTTTCGGTCAAGGGTTGCTGCTGGATTCAATCCTTAGGGTTCTCGTCTTCGGTCAAAGGTTTCTGCTGGATTCATTCCTTAGGGTTTTTCGCCTTGGGAATTCACTCCTTAGGGTTTTCGTCGTGGGTTAGAATTTCCTGCTGGATTCACTCCTTAGGGTTTTCGTCTTGGGTTAAGGTTTCCTGCTGGATTCACTCCTGAGGGTTTTCGTCTTGGGAGTTCACTCTTTAAGGATTTCGTCTTGGGTATTCGGTCTTTCGGGCCTTTAGGATTTTGGTCTTGGGCCACGCGCGCATGATTGTCTGAAAGAGCTCGCTCCCTCCTCTTACGCAAAGCCTGACTGCCGGGTTGGTTGAGGCTAAGTGCGGTAAGTGGAGTAGTGGGGGTAGGTGGGGTAGGCGGGGCAGGTGGGGTAGTGGGGGTAGGCAGGGCAGGTGGGCTAGGTGCGCCACGTGGGGTAGCTGGGGCCAGTAGGCAAAAGGAAGAAGTTACATCTAAGAAAATGAAAAAATTACAACTAAGCCTGCTTCCTCCGGGAACCTTCCGCAAACGCACCGGCAGCTCCTCCGGGGTGCCCAAACCCCAGTCCACCTCATCTTCGGCCAGAGTCGAAAGCCTCGAAGCCCAGCATAGGCCGGAAAGTCGTGTGAAGCACCTTTAGCTCAGTGACGGCTTCGGTGAAGAACTGCCCCATGACTCAATCCGAACGCAAACGCGAATCCTGACCTGGAACCCAGCGTGAGATGCTGCAGCTGAGACTCCTCCATCAATCTTCACATTCTGCTTGTAGTTGTAGCTGCAGCAGTGCGCAATCCAAATGGGCTCCTTGTAGCCTTGGCCACTGCCGATCTGGGCGCTGGTGGATGCTGCTGAACGGAGGCCAAAGCCGGCTTCATGTCTGCTGCCAACCGGCATTTGTTGATGACGCGGATGACGGAAGACGACCGGGCAGAACGATCTTGGCTGCTGTTGACCATCATCTCCTGCTCTGACCGCGTGTGTCGGCGTCGAGCCCACCCTACCGAGAATTTGTAGGAGAAACAAAACTGAAGACTGCCCTACATGAAGGCACGCCTTCCCCTCTTTTTCAGACATCTCATCTGCAAAATGCCGTCCTTCGATGTGTTCTTCAATGCAGCAGCGATGTATTTGCTCTTCCGCTTAAGGCCGTCCGCTGCGGTGGAGTTTGACACCTTGCAGACTTGAAGCTCAACACCGGCGTGCCGATGCACCCCACATGGAACCGCGGACTTCAGGCATTCTTACGTAACGATCTCCATCGCAACACACGGTCTGCATCTGTGAAGCTCTACTCTACAACCCCAACAAAACCTACGCACTGGCATGAACAACTTTCAAATCAAGACTCCCGTTGCCTCCAAATCTGAACGACACAAAGAAAATCTTTGATTCTCCGGAGAGCAGCCAGCACATGGCTGAGGTTTCCCTCCTCCGCTGGATTCTGATCCTTACAGTCCAAGAGTTGATGGGAGCGGAGGTTCTGGATACGGCCCTTCAGCTAGGAGCCTGGAGTGTCGTCAAGATGAAAGAAGCTTGTCGGGACACTGAGCGGCCCAGACTTGGCTTCGGAGAACCTGAAGCCCCACGCCGACGCCGAAACAAATGCCTGCCACTTCCAGAACTCATCCGCATACCTCGGCCCAGTTTGCCCTTACTGGCGAGTGTCGGCCAGCAAATTGCGTGATGCGGCCAGGAGCAGCAGGCTCTGAAGGATGCGGCCCATGGTGTCCGAAGCGAAGGAGAAAGGGCCGCTGGGAGCCTCAAAGCTGCGGAACTTCTATCGGACCCACAGCGGTCCCAGGAAGAGGTGGCCAATCTAGCCTGTCTCGACTGCCAAAGCATTTTGCAGAGGTCTCTTGTCTCCGCCCACACGCCTCCCCACGACATCCCCCGACGGGCTGCTTTGGACTTTGGGTTCCGCCGCATGGAACTTGCTGGAATGGTTTTGGGCTGCACGTGTCTAGACGGAGTGTACGGGCTGAGGTGCCATGTCTCTTGCTGCTTCTGGCCCGCGAGGGTGGAGACCATCTTGAATTATCAGCGGTGTTCTGTCCTTCTCCACACCACTTCAAATAGAATCGGGGGCAGTAGCCTCGAAGTTCTGTGATATATCGCTTCTAGATTCTAGATAGCGCAAACAAACCATCTTGAGGTGCCAAAAATAACCTCTGCAACAGGAGCAGAACACCGCCGACTTTGGCATGCAACTGCGCGCAGGGCATCGCCGTTGATAGTTCGGAGATGCTGGCTATCACGTTGCCTACAGGAGCAGCCTCTTTGGCCCCAGCAATGTCGAATGGAAGCTCCTGTCACATGAGTTTTGTGGCGTAATGCTGCAGCCACAGCTTCGCATGGCTTGACTCTCGAAGCCCTTAAATGCAATACTATAGATTCGACAGGCAAAAGCCCCGCATCGGTTCAGCCTGCGGCCTTCCAACTCCAAATCCTTTCCAAGGCCATGGGCTGGGCACATCCTGCGCGGAGCTCCCCAGGGTCAGGCGCTGGGAGCCTGGCGGGCAAAAACCTAAACCCATGCAACCGTACCTAGGAACCTGGAACTGACAAACTCTCGCCTGGCTCGGCAGCACAGGGCAGGCAGAAGCAACTCCCAGTTGAGCCATCTTTGCCCAGAGGCGCATCTCGCCTGCAGCGGGAAACCGCTCAATCCCCAGAGATAAGAACGACAACCTGAGATGCTGGGAACTGAGAGAGACGAAGACATCGTGTCAAGTTGAATTCCGGGAAGCACTAAACACAAATAGCAGAAGGGCCAGCAAACACGCGCCTGAGAAACAATCCTGCTGAGAACAGGTCAGATTTCTGCAGTACCATCTCCACTCCGTTTCTTAATTAGCACGTCGGCAACCCGGAATTCCTTTCTTCCGAACATGTCCGAACAACAAGTCACCGGTATATCTTGCTGCAGCTGGCCTTGGAAGGCGTTCATGGCACTGGCTGCCAAGTCCTTGATACCGTAGACAGCAACGGATCCACTGCCCCAAACTTGCATAAGACTGACATCCTTTGCGCCCAAAGCCCTGAATCCCTAGCAGGCGCTACACTCGAAAATACGGTCCTCCTTGATGGCAGCACGAGCCTCGTCAATGCGGGACTCCAGTGCTGGAACATCCTGCAAAGTTGGCTGGCAGGCTTTCCGCATCATTGTGAATGTTGCCTGCTTTGCTTCGTTGGGGCACCAGAGCATCGTGTGGAAGCTGCAGATTGCGTTTTGGCGTCGAGACCAGGGCCTGCCTTGGGGAGTTGCCTTGACCTCAAGCCATCCACCTGTCCTATCGCACGCTCAACCTCACTACAAAATCTCACCCTCCAGAGCCTGGCTGAGACATAGGCCGAAACAAACGAGACCAAGAACTCTGAAGACTTCAGGTCAAGAAAGACAGGTAGATGATGCATGTATGTCCCACTGCGAATGGCAGATTCCTATGGGATGCCGAACCTAAATGGCAGATCCCTATGGGATGCCGAACCTAACCACTGAATGGCCGGCCTTGCAAACAGCCTCCATCTTGCGCATTGCCTTGCGATGCGGCAGAAGCTTGCATGTCCGACGTCCCTCACTCGGCCAATGCAAAGACCACTCGAAGAACAAAGGCCGCCCGCCTCACCCAGCGAGCTCAGGCGCTGTTCACGTGCAGCCTCTCGCTCCTGGCGCACAGCGACTTGTAAATGCTGCACTTCTGCTTTTTGTCCTGAGGGAATCTGACAAAGACTTGGAACATGGCCGAATGGCGCATGCAAAGCCTGTCAGGCAGCCTAAGGAGTCAACTTCTCTTGCCCGAGTCTGACTAGCAGCGGCCAGTTTCGGAAAGTTGGCGAACCAACCTGAATAGCTGCATGTTGTGTTTCATTTGCGAACTTCTCAAGAACCGAGTTTGCACGAAATTGCAGCCCGAACTTCTCCCAAGCCGAGGCCACGTGTGAGGCCACAAACCCCAACAACGACCTGGAAGGCGCTTCGCCAGCTCTCAGCGGCCAGCAGGCGGCCGTTGTAGCCTGACTCCAAGCAGCTGGGTTCTTGTAAGTTCCTGTAAACGGAATGCTCGACCAGTCCGGGCTGCTCTCAAGCTGCCCCAGCAGGCGTCCCTCCGTGGCGGCAGAGGCAAGTCGCTGACTTTCCTGGAGGCCAAGGATGCTCAGGAATATGAGCCTCATCCCTGTCGGAACGGGTCTTGCACCTGCACTTCCAGAAGCCCTGCCTTCAAGACTACTCTCACTCGTCCGGCCTGTCCCTCATCCATGCGCTCGGCCACTTCCTGCGCCAACTTCTGAAGGCCTGCGGTGATTCGGAGTTTGGGGATCCTTCGGTCGAAGGACATGGTCGCGCGGCCACTCGCATTGAACATGGGACACTTGCCTCAATGCGATGACAGAAGGCCGTCGTGGCACAGAAGACTTGTCCGTTCACACAGTCCCGATGGCTTGGTCCCAAAGCCGCAGTCCCCAACACCGAAGTGTCACACTCCCGCGGCTGAAGCTTCTACGATTCCCGTGCCTCGGTCCAGCAGCGCGTTGGACCGCTCTTCCAGGCTGCGACGTTGCCCGTCCTCACCCTCCTTGCAAAGGCTTCCTAAGGAGCTCTCGGACGAGCCAACCTTCACACACCGTACGTAGCGGCAGCACGGCCCTAGTCCTGGACGTCCTTTAGCCGAGCCAGCAGCTCCGTCTGGGCAGCACAGCGGCATTGCTCTCGATGGCATGACGCACCAAATTTGTTTTTAATCTAGGGCAGGCAGCGGCATCGAGATGGGTGCTCACAACATCCAAATGTGAAGCATCCATGTCCCCATGCCGCACACCTGCTGCAGACCCTTAACAACGATAACCGAACCGTAGGCTACCTGAACTCCACCCCGTGCCAATTCTCTGATGGCCTTTGTGCTCGAGGCAGCGTCGCAAGCCTGCAGTCAAAAGCACATGAATTTGCAGTTGCAGGTGAATCTGCTTTTCAGACGAGCCCTAGCCGCTCCCAGCTCAGGTGGCTTAGGCAGTATCTGAAGCTGACCGTATGCATGCGTGCATGTGGCGATGATTCAGAGGCTGGACTGCCAGCAGTGGACGGCACTCTGAGAGCCGCTTCTACCCTCAGGGCCTGCTGCTTCAACTCTTGGCCGAAGTCCTGGCCGGTCTGCTCTCGTTCGCTCACCGAAGGGGCTCCCCAGGCCGGAAGCTCCTGCAGGCGCTGTGTGGCCTGCTGCATCTGCTCGTCGACGTGCTGGGAGATCTCCTTGGACCTGGTGGATGTCCAGACTCCATAAGCTTCCGTCCTTTCTGCTCCCTTCTTCCAATGAGGCCGGGGCCTGCTCAGGAACTCCTGGCTCTGCAACTCCAGCCTCTGGCCCAAGCGCTGGATTTCCGAGCTGCTGCTCAAGCTGCGAGCCTCCCAAGGCGGTCGCTTTCCCGGATTCCGCAGGATCAGGCTTGGATCAGATTGTAGAGGCCTACTGCGCTGTCTGCTGCTAAGCATGCCAGGCTGTTCGCGACTATCAGACCTCGTCGCTCTACGAGTACATCTGCCTGCCTCGACCTCTGTCACGCGGCGGCTCTCGCTCTCGAGGGATCGTCGGTTGTCCTGCGAACCACCCCGGCTGGGAAACCGATGGCAAAGTTGGCAGCCATGTCCCTCCCTTGGCGCAAACTAAGCAAAGCTCCATCGAAAGCAACCCATGATTCAAATCGTGCCGACGAATTTCCTGAGCCGGCCCACAGCCCGAGTCCTCGGAGCAGGCATCAACCTGTTTGCGCCAGGCCCGGGGCAATGGGAGTTGAAGTTGGGGGGGTTGTGTGGGAACTTCAGACACCGCGGTCAACACTCCTTTGAGCAGCCCCAGGGTATAGCGACCAACCTGCTTCTGGAACAAAATACGGTTCTTTCAAAGCTCGCTGGACTGCGAGGCCAGGAACCTCAACATGCGAACCCCAGTATGCACAAGCCCAACCGCAAGCCTCCTCCAACCCCGAGCCCAAGACACCAGCTTCCGGTTCTCATCCACGGCCCGGGCGAGCCGCATCTGCTCGGCTGCCAGGTGACTCAGCTCCTTCTGAGCAGAGTCCAAACCTCAAGGCGCCGGGAGCTAAGGCTGCGCCGCCACTGGGTGGCTCCGTCTGAGATTCTGCTCGCTGACGGTTCCCCAAGCACACCCCCGCCCGTCTGACCAAGTGGCGATCTGCCGTCTCCGACTGGAGGGAAACCTGTTGACTTCGACAGTGCTCGGGCTTCAGGATCAGCCGGATCAGTCTCTGAACTGGCGGGCTCGAGAGATCGGATGCGAAACGCCACCCCTGCCTCAAGTCGGCGGAGTCCTGCAGCGACCTCACGACAAAAAACACAAATCTGCTATTCCGAGTGGGACAGCGCCACCGAAATACGAGCCATCACGGAGCATGGATGCCATGTCAAAGGAATCGTTTGACCCTCCAAGAACTTCCCTGGCATTGAGTCCGTCGCGTCATCGAGACGGTCAGTGAAGCGCTGCTTGAGCTGACTGGCGTTCTGCTCCTTTCTTGCAGTCAGCGGCTCGGCTCAGCAGTTCAAATCCATAGCCGTGTCGGTCACCAAACCAAGTTTTCTCTTGCACGATACTGTTACTTTCCGGCCTCGCGAAGACCACCAGTGCCAGCCGAACAAAACATCATGTCAATGTGAGCAGCCCCTCGAAGAAGATCCAGGTCCGGCCTGGCGCTCTGCCTCCTCCTGAAGCTGCTGACGTAGAGCAGCCTTTGCGCTTCTGAGACTTCATCGCTCTTTCCTCACCCACAAAGCCTGAAGCCTGAAACTGCACACAAAGCCTAGACCTTCACACCATGGAGAAAGGTCCGTTCCAACTCCGGGGGTCTCTGACCAAAGGTCCAAGGGGCCCTGAGCCGCTCCAGCGCCGCATCGCGCAGAACCTCCGCCTCGCCTAGTTGAAAAAAGTCGGTTTTCGTTGGGTGGCCGTTTGGGGATGCACCCTACGGTCGCTCTGCGCACAATCCTAAGCCATATAAATCCCAAGATATAAAGCCTCCATCCTCTAGCCGCTACAGTAGCCCCTAAAGTTAGACGGTCAAGCAGTTGGTCAAAGCCACTGGCTGCGGTTCTGATGCGATCGGACACCACCGTCTGGATGCGCTGTTCTAACCTGCCAGTGGCAGCAAACACTCCGAAATGCAGGCCCCTGAGGGCTTGAGGTTGCAGGAACATCTGGCCGCTAACCGTTACGTACTCACAACTGCATACGGAAAAGGAAAGGGTTGAAGTGCATGAAACGCACGGAAATTGTGTTATTCTGTCAACTGCCCAAACAATGCAAACTACTGTGCCTGGTGTTTTTACAGGCTTGGTAGCGGACCTCTGCTCCAAACCATCCAAGGCATACTTGGCAGCATCTGACTCACGGCTCAACCGCGTCGGAATCTCCTTCACCGCGGCCTTCGGGAACGAAAGGCCGAGGGTCCGGTTTCGATAGTGTCTGGTGGCAGTTGCGTTGCCGACAGAAATCCTACCCGTCCCACCATCTCGGAACAAGCTTAGGAGGCGCTCAATGTTGAATGTTGGGAAGCTAGAACCGGCAGCCTGTGAACTCCAACCAAGACACACCCAGCCGGCGTAGGCAAGGACTCCGGCCTCCAGGGCTCCCAGGCGCTCTGAGAGACTAGCCATAGGCGTGCGCCAGGCACCTTGGTTCAACGACTCCACGTGGACCAAACGAGCGGATGGAGTGAAGGTGTGTGTCGAACAGAAGGGGCCACGCATGAGCAGTACATCATGCACGACTGATGGAGATATCCGGGTAGCCTTGGAGCTCGGTGGCCTGATCCTCCAGCTGCCGCCTCATGGCTCGGGTGATTACCATGATACCGCGGTGCGACGTATAGCTTAGACAACCAACAGAATACTGGTTGATAAGCCGCTTCTGCAAACAAACAGGGAACGATGCAGGAAGAAGAGGAAGGGAAGGAACGAAGAAAGTGAGAGCGATAACAAGGAGCGAAAAAGCTTACTCATAAATTCAGACCCATCACATGCGCATGTGGCCTGGCGGCCAGCAAAGAAGCAACCCGCGTGATCGTTGGTAGTCAGATGATCACGAAGAAATAATTGAACCAGAGGTAAGCGGTGATAGTGACAAGTGACGAAGCTGAAGATGATGAGGCTGCTTGTTATCGAGGTTGCTGGTATGCGAAGATGCGGGTGGCGGTAGTGGTGGCAGTGGTGCTGATGGCGGCGGTATAGTGGCGATAGCTGCGAACATAATTATTATAGAGAGGACGGTTTTAACATCACAGACATATACAACAACAATTGAGAACCATGGCCATAACTATCATATTGCTGTTGACAGCCCCGGCCTCGTGGCACAGTCTGAACGCAGCGATGCACAGACCTTGGACAGCTCCTCTAGCTCTGATCGCCTGGCGACCTGCGGGGGCTTGTGTGAAAGGCAGAGTTTGCCGGATTCAACACCGGAAGATGCTTCCATGCTCATGCCAAGACCTCATGGTTGGGGATCCAGGCATTGATCTCCGTACTGTGGCCCTGGACCTGCAGGGCGCTTTGCAACGAGCAAAACTCAGATCCTATCCTCAAGCCTAAAGTTCGATGATGGTGCTCAAACTCCCACGGCCGCCCACCTGCTCCTGCAGGGAGTCCACGTCATCACTGACCTTGGTGACCTTCTCCCACAAGCAGTCGATCATGCTCACAGTGGCCACTGTCTTCTGCGGAGCACTGGCAGAGTCCAGCACCTGCCAGTCTCCACGCACCTCCGGGCCCAAGCTGTGCTCTTGCCGGACACGCCTCTCTGGCAACGGCCCCCGCGAAGGTACTGGTGGTGCGGAGGGTGCGCTATCATTGAAGGTGGTAGCAACTTCCGCAGTGAAGTTAGGGACCACCTGTCCCGCGGCACGAGCAAGTGCAGCTTCTGCTAGCCTCGAGTCAGAGATGAGCTCTGCCTCACCGCCCCAGAGTCTCGCCAAGTCGGCCTCCATCCACGGCTGCAGGGGCACCACGCGGCTTGTCGCTGCGCACCCGAGCAATTGGCAGCTTGCAGAGCCCAAACGAGCCACGTCGCCCAAATCAGGAGGGAGGCAATCAATGAGCCAGTCAATCTGATATAACCTGCTGTTAGAGTCAGAAACCTGAGGGGCATGGGCTTCGAATAAGGGTCAAAGGTGTACTTGGAAGATCTCAAAGTCTTGAGGCTCTGATCATGAGAATACGATGTTTCTCCTTTTCCTCGGGGCCTTGCATAACGAGTACGATAAAACCCAACTCAACCGACCTCTCGCATCTATGGTGTACCCGCTGAAACTAAATACGGGGCACAGGGAATCCCTTGCGTTTCGTTCGGCTGGGTAGCAGCTTGCGCCACATTCGTCCATCATACTCTTTTGTGTAGAACCGATTTGCTAAAGCCTAAAGTTCGTGTTGTCTCCATGACGAGCACCTGGAAGGCGAACAATCATTGAAAGGAGCACGGCATGACGCTTCTGCTGAGCTCGGGCGGAGCACTACATTACGGATGCGGTTCAGGGTTCATTACACGGCAACATCCTTCCGTCATCCTTCCTTCGGCGTCAGACAACAGAACCAAGCGGAAGAAGGTTCGGCATCTGTTTTATTCCCTGCTGGCTTGTGCAGCAGCCGGCCAGTCCACTTCGTAGAAGAGCCTCTCCTCCGTGAGCGCCGCTATGGTGGGCATGGGCAGAGGCCGTGGAAGATATCCGAAGTCCGAGCTGTGGGGCAGCTCCTCGGGTCGGGAAAGGACCTTCTGTCGCACCGGGCTGGGACCATCACGGCCATCTTCGAAGCGACTACTCTCGACAGCCTGGAGAGCCGCAGCCTCGTCTGACGTGAGGACATGCCGCCGCATGGCGGGGTGCTGCTGAAAATTCAGCCGCTGGCAGTGGGGTGGCTCGGGCGCATGCCGACGCCAAAAGTTGAAGACAAAGACCCTCCTTGTCTGCTCGCTATCCAGCCAAATATCCAGGGGGAGGCTACCATGATGAAGATCTGCGCGAAACAAAACCAAGCGGTTTGTACGGGGCATGCAGAGGTAGCCCTTCCGGGGCAAGGTGGGCGCCAGCCGTCCGTCATGATCATGGAGCTGGTCCAACACCACAGTAGGACCTCCTTCATCGCTGAGGTAGAACACACTTGACCACTGAGGTCGCCATGGGTTCCCGTGAACCCACTCTGAATTGATGTCGTCTGCATCCACGGCCTCATCATAGTGAAAGCCTGCACCGAGGTTCACAGATCGAACCCGAGCCCAATACTCGACACCGGCAATTTCAGCCGGGTCCTGATTCAGAATGTGTCGGAGTATTGTCAGTGCAGCCACTTCTGGCACGCTTCTGGCATCTCCAGAACTCGGAAGCCACATGGTCGAAGCTGCGCCCTCAAACGCGTCGTCGGCCGCATACACCCACCGGTTCGTGAAGATGAACTGGAAATGGTCCTCCACGCAATCTTGGAGCCTTTGCAGCAAATCCTTGCTCAAGACGTTATCCCAGGCCATTATCCCGGATTCCAGCGCAGGCTGCCGGAGATCTGGCTGGGGCTCCGGAAAGAGGAAGTTCTCCTGCCACTGCGGTCGAGGCGGTGTCTGCTTTGCCGCTTTTTGGATGTATCCTGCCGCCCCATCCTTCCAGGCTCCCACAGGAAGGATGTACACACGCTGATGCCCGAGCAAGCCTTCCCGGCGTCCTGTGGCGCTTTCGTCCAACATCTCCAGTTGCTCATATCCCGCCAGGGACTCCGCAAGACGACCCAGATGCTCCATGCACCGTGATCGCGTCTCCCACGCAAAGACGTGGTCAGGGCACACTTCTATCGCCATGTCCATCCACTCCACGGTTCGGCGCAAGTCGTGTAAGGCTTCATATAGCAAGCCCATGCAGAACAAAGCTTCTGCGTCGCTTGGATCTGCCAGTACAGCCCTCACGAAGCGCGATCGGGCCTCGTCTGCATGACCGAGCTGGAGTTCGTGCCAGGCCTCGCGCAAGTCCTCGTCAGAAAAGGGCGGCTCCTGCCTCTCTGTCTCCAATTCCTTGTTCCTTGGGTCGGCAGCAACCATGCGTCGAACCCTGTCTGCAGCACCTTCGTTGTCCAACGGAGCCGGGGCAGTGGATGGAAGGTCCGTGCCGGGGAGAAAATCCAATGCCACCTCCTCGACCACAGCTCTTCTTGGCTGTATTGCGGGTCGCCTGCCGGAGCGCCAGGCCGAGGCGAACAAGGCCACAGAAGCCCATTTCAAAGCAGATGTGTCGCGCACATTTGTGATGCTGCCGTCTCTCTGCTTCTCAAACACGCCAAGGCCCAGATTGGGGGCAGAACTGCAAAGAGAGCCTTCCTGGATCTTCCATGGTTGCGTCGGAACGCAGATGCCCCGCAGAGGCTGCATGGCGTTGCCGAAGCCAAGCAGGGCACAGCGTTCGACACGTGCAGATGTCAAGCAAGAATAGCGATATCGTAAACTTGCACTATCATAACAGCACTTATGGCAAAAAGCTTTGATGCTCTGTGCATTTGCCGGGCTACCCCGGCTTCGAAAGTCAACCCATATCGCATGCGATTGACCAGAAAAGAAAAATGTCAGGGGATGTCGAATCATAAAGTAACAGGTTCCAGATTACTCAATTCAGAACATATTGTGCCAATCTTGCAAGTTTGTGTGCATGTGTTGGATACTCGACTGATACCCAGACTCGACGGACGCGCCCGTTTTGCACCAAGCCTCTCCGCATCGCACGGAACGTCTGCGCGGAGCCAGCCAGGAACGTAGGCCAATGTGTTGTTCCTCAAGCTCCGGGATATGCCACTTGTACCATGCTGATTGCCACTTACAGTTTCGGCCCATATAGCGCCGAAATCTTTGGCCGGGCAACTCGGCCAGGGGCGCGGGCGAACAGCTTTGTTCCGCTGTCGCAGGTGCCACTACCACCTTTGGCAAGGAGACGTCAGGCTTCAGACTTCGCCACTCGAGGCTCCGTTGATGGTTGAAGATGGGCATTATCTTCTTGAGCCCGAACTTGACCCCGATGGGTTAACCTTCGAAGCCTTCGAACTTGAACACGGCTGCCGCGGAACGTTTAAATGCTTTCAGGGGCGCTGGAGCGCAAGAACTGTGCCAAATTGTCATTAGTTCATGCAGGTGTCATTCATGATTCCAATCAACAAATGAAAATACAGCCTGTGTTTCTTGCCACATCACGTTTCCAGGTCCATGTTCTACGGTCAGGGCTGAAAGGGCCGCTAGGACACCTGGTAACCACCAAGCACCGCAGCCCACCAGCTGAATGTAGAAAAGCTGATGACGATCCTGAGCAGGCAGGTGAGACTCGAGAAAAAAAACACGGCGACGGGCATTATCGATCATCGTTTGTAGCGAAGCTGAGGGGCTGAATCAAGGGTGTACATCAAGGTGTGCGACTATGGGGCCTGAAACACGAAAGCACGCCAGCTGGTCCACTCCGAAACGGAAGCTATGTGTGGAGAGGATCTACTAGCCAGGAGCCGAGTCTTGTCCCAACCTTTTCGGGTGATGTGTTTCTCGTTGCTAACGCAAAGTCCCAGCATCCTACGACCTCAACACCAAACTGCACACAGGACAAGCTGGGGAGCCCTACCCCGAACAGCACACAGCCAAGACGGCAAGAGCCAGATCGTCCCGCATCGGCTCCTTGCAGATGCCCCAGACTTCTTGTGAGGCTCTCTCGTGGAATCTACTAGGGATGATGAAACTTGCTCATGTACGTCCGCCACTGCCAGTTGCCCTCACTCCGCAAATCCGACCTCGCCTCGAAGATGCTGTGCTTGGGGCAGATCTGCGCGGCTCTGCCAGAGCGAAGTCGCTCCTCCAATCTCGAAGCTGCAGAGTATGTAGTACGTCTATGCATTCTTGGCACAACGTTGGCACATCGATGACATTGTTGGAAGCAAAGGGAAATCTCTGCTCGTGAAGGCTTGATTTGGCACTCTTTGCAAAGGGGAACTTTTCCAGTACTGATCATGGAGGAAGCTGCGAGCAAAGCGTCCGGCTCGTCGGAGAAGAGGATACAGTGGGTATTCCCGTCCTTGGGGTTGAAATGCTCAACCTACGATTGAAGGGACCTACGATTGAAGGGAAGGGGGCTTGCAGCAGACAACCTGGATTGAAGGATTTCTCTCCCAGCTGGCTCCCAGACAGACTGTCAAGTCGCGAGGCGAACTATGTTCAATTCTGGCGGGAGCTCTTGGCTTGATGGCATCGTGAAGGCCCAACAAGATGCGCCTCCCTCATGGCTTATCACATGAAAACAGAAATCGAAAGCTTGACAATCACAAGCTACATATCATGGACCGGTTTAGGAAGTATCAGCAGCAATCTACAAATCTGATTTGCAGATCCCGGTAGACACAATCCAGAAGCCCTGCCTAACCTTTTCAAGTTGTCAGACCTGCAACGGCGTGGCTCAAACCGTGCGGACGAGGGTACGGCAGCTCGGCTCTGCAGGCGAGCGATCTTTGCTGTTGCGACGCGCACAGACTCGCGGAAGTACCTGAGCAGTGCGGAGGCTTGGATAGGCCCAGTTGCGGGTGGAGAGGCTTGCCGGGGCAGCTCAACTCTGGCCCCGGCCGAGCGAAAGACACCCTCTGGTCAAAACACGGTGGTCGGCAAGGATCAGGTCATCTGCACAGGGCTCTCGAATGAGCGGGCGCACTGACTCTTAACCTACCAGGCATCTTCCAAAGCAGTGCGATCATCGAGGACAAAGGCATCACACTGTATTTTTGTCATGGGTATACCCTCACAACGTCCATAACAACCGAGGTGCGTTACGCCCAGCCCATCGCCTCGATCGCCCAAGCGCACATGGATCGCCAGAGTGGTGGCTTCCTTCCAGAAAAGAAACGGCTTTGGACATGGACCACGCAATGTAGATTGAGAAACTGCACATGACCTCTGCTATTTCGGCTTTTCCAATTCGCCAATAGCCCCTGCAGCGAAAATATGTGCCTTGAATCCGATCTGATCAAATTTCTTTACCAGCTCAGCATGTGGCCTTTGGCCCTGCAAGCTGCAAACGGATCTGCTGTGAAGCGAGAACGAAACGAACCCGAAATCCTTCATTTTGCCAAACTGAGGCCGATGCGTGTGGCGGGAGAGAGCATTCTCCGAACGGCTCACCCGAAATCCTAACCTCCCAAATCCTTGGTAACAAAGACATGAAGACAATGACCCATCGAGCAAGTTTGCAACCTCTGCTTACAAAACCTCTCTTGGCCGGTGGGTCTTAGGAAACCTCAGCGGCTGGAAAGGAGCCCCACATGCATCTACTATTCCGAAGTACCTGTTTCACCCCGAGCGAAAGTCAACTACATCTACTCCACGGACTTCTGGCAAACATCTCTGAAAATCCTTCAACTAGCCACCTCTCCCAGCCCAAGCACTGCCAACGAAAACCAGCATCATTAGAGAGACAGAACACACGAACAAAGCCATGAAAAGCACCAACAGCCGCAACCCATCATGGCCTGGTTGACAAGTTGTGCCGACCACCATCTCCGGAAGATGGCGCGGGCTCGCTCCGCCAGACTCGCCGGCAGGAGGTAGCTCCTAATGGAGGGCTCTGCGCCCATCCATCACAAGCCGGGGACGGTAAAGAACTACAGTAACAGTTTTCCAGTGCAGGGCAATCCATCTGCCATCAACCCAGGCAGTTTCGAGCCGCTAGTGCAAAACGGGGCTGTGAAAAGCACAATCGCATCCTATCCTGAGCTACCGGGTTCAACCTACGACAAATCAGCATGTTATCCATCCATGGTAGCTTTGCGGAGTTTTGAATATGCTTGATGGTCGTATGTTGGGAGTCTGTCAATATGCATTTTCAATGTCTGCCACGGGTGGTGCCATAGCCGTATCTTGGTGTGTGCTTCTGTCATTGCCGATCGGGCCCAGTGTAGGCGAGGCCTACCAGGCCGGTTTGATCACATGGAGTGGGGATCTGAACTAATGGTTGGCCAACTGCGAAATATGTTCATGCGAGCATGGTGTATCGGACGGCTGTATGACCTTATGAAAATACGAAGATGTGAGACCAAATGTTCACGCCATCTTGTGAAATGAATGGAGTTCAACCTTCGTTCTTGACTGGTGGCAAATAAATCGATTCCCAGAATAGACAATATGGGAGCCCCGTGTAGGACAGAAATGGCTTCAACAGCTTGGAGGTCGATACCGCTCTAGAAACCTCGTTTAAAACTGTGCTATTTCCGGAGCCTAGAGCATCTATGAAGACCCCCAAGTACTTGACTTCCTGACGAAATGAGCCAGTGGCTCAGCTCCGCAGCAGCAATGCCACTGACACGCAGCAATGTGCTAGGAGCAAAACAACTCGGTTGTGCGAGTGTAGGGGGAGGTGCTTGCACTTATCGTCGTTCATCGTCAATCCTACTTGGAACAAATGAAGAAGCCGGTTCAATTGGATGAGAGAACGAACGGTAACTAGCAATAACCTTCCCGTGCGACTCCTCACAAGCTGCTTGTGGTGCCAGAAGTACTTCAAGTTCTGGAAGTATCCATGCAGAATCACGGCCTTCGCGCCCGCCGGCAGTCGAGGCTCCTTCGATCCATGCATACGACAAAGGCTAAAGTGGAATGTTTCCGTCTCAAGTCCACCCCTGTGCACCCATCATGGAGTTTCGGGCTTTGTCGCGTTCAGTTCATCGGTGGTCCGGGCATGCTCAGCTTGCCCCCTCAAATAGACAAAAGCTCTTTCGTTTCGATTTCACTTCATGTCAGTCCTGCTTATTTGACTCTCATCTCAAGCCCTGGATCATGCTAGGACTCGCTTCCCCTCATCTTTGCGCCTCGAAACCCCCGTGGCTAGGGCTGCCGATCATGGGATGGTCTCGAGCAGGCCTCATGATGCATTCAACCAGAACGCTGCTGTCACTACACTAACATCGCTAACGGCTCCAAGTTCTGGTGCCTCCGATGTTTTCGAGCACCTCCAATGTTTACATGTCGCTAGGCTAATCGGATAGCTTGTTGCGCGTGCCTTCTCATAGTTGCGCGAACTCGAGCAGGAATTCCAAAATGAGATCACTGCATTCATGCAGCATACTTGCAGACAGAAAGCGTATACCAATGTACGCAGGGCAGCAGCGAGAAGATCCCACCCGCCTCTGCATAGGGAAACCAATGCATACCTGGGCGATCCATTCATCAGATTGCATGCCCTCTTCTTCGGGCTTGCTCCTGAAACCCTAGGTTCCCAGCCCCAGGCTCTGCTCGTATTCACAACAAGGCGCTGGTTTCCATTCGGAAGCTGAAACCAAAGTCTGCAGCCATAGCCAGCGCAGCAGCCATCAGAAACCTCTGATGCGATCTCTCTGACAACCTTTGCGACATAGACACGGGGCTCTGTTGGGCTTTACCGGCAGGATCGGTGGTCGCCTCTCCAGCTGATTCTAACCTTTCACCCAGCATCTACGAGAAGTTGTGAGCCAGCTTTGGCAATGCCAGTACTGCCCAACGTTTAATCGCGAAGATAGCGTGGGCTTCGGGAAGGGCTCTCTCTCTAAATCAACTTTCAGAGCCTTGCGAAATCTGAAGACCCGTTCCTGCTACAGTTAACCGCTTCAAATCCCGCGGATGTCCCTTTCAAGAAAATGGAGCCCGCTGTGATCCAGGCCGCAAGGCGTTTCCCAGCCGGATGCCCAAGGGCGAAGGGCCCAGAGCCTTCAACCTCGGCAAAACCACACCGGCCTCCGAGGCGCCAGGGTTTCCTTAAGTTGGGGTGCGGGATCTGTGGAGCTTCGGGAATAGAAGCTTCGGTCAGGTTGCACACGAACTTGCGCCAGCTGGCGGGTGTAACGTGAGAATGCGAAGCTTTGCTGTAATTGGGGGCCATCCCAAGCGATGAAATCCAGAATGACACTGACGGCATGGAGTTCAAAAAGTCCATGCTTCCTTGCACAGGCAAGAGGGCCCCAAATGGCAGCCCTCTAAGCCTGGTTAACACTGCGAATACTGTTCGCTTCCCCCGTGCTAAAAAACCAAAACCCTTGCTGAAACCAAAACACTAAACACGAAAATCCACCACAGACTACAAGTACTGCAAATCCTCGAAGGCCTCGAAGGCCTAAGCCGTGTCGTAGCGGCCCCGGGTCCCACCCTCAGCGTCGGCCTCTCTGGTGTTCTCCCGCTTCTTTGCCGGGAAGGTCTGCAGCGAGAGTCGATCCCGAGCCTTTGCACTTTCGGCTTCGCTCGGGGAAAAAGGTGTGGGCTTGAGGTCTGTGCGTAACCGGCTTGAAAACCTAAGGTTGACAAGAGGAAGAGAATGATAACAGAATGACAGAAGTAGTACTGCTGCAGCACTAATTCTTCGGATTTCTGCGGCCAATACCGTTGCTGTTGATGTTGTCATAGTTCTGACTGGGATTCGAAGTACCTTGATCCAGGCCCTGGGCTAGTGCCATACATCCGATTTTCTCACTTTTTTGTGGTTCAGGTACACACGAAGGATGGCCCGGAGGCTGGGGTCTTGTGGCACCTTCCCCATCCAAGCCTCCTGACCCGGAAGTTTCGTTCTTATCCTTCGACTATTGAAGAACCTTTACCTTGGAGTTTCGGCGCTGTTTTTCTGGACTCGGATCCAACCCGTCCGGTCCGCACAGTTCGGACACAGCTTTGCTAGGAGCCTCGGTGTTGCCGCTGTAGACACTGTAGATGCTTTACTACGATGGAGGAGGAGTTGACGGGCTAGTGTAGTAACCCACGTCGAGCTGCTGCCTTCAAGAAACCTAGTCCTCCGGCACCTCTGTGTACAATACAAAGGGGCTGCTGGATGTTTGTCCACATTACCCGAAAATCGAATGCATAAGCACGGAAGAGAATACTGAGGCAGGATATCCCTGCCTTCTCGAGAAGAAAGTAGCAGCCCTGCGGAAAGGTGACGAAGCCCAGGGTGCTGCCTACCTGGGGTTTTCAACAGCCATCTGCCACTCTCATGTGGGCAGTGATTACTGTGGTAACAGATTGCCTAACATCGGTCAGGCTTGCTTTCCTGGACGGCACTCGCAGATCCTTAGGATGCCGGAGGTTTCGGAACAACAAGCCGTCAGAACTGTAGTTCTAGCAGCTAGCGCGAGAAGCGGGTGTGTGCGAAACTGAGCAGGCTCTTTCGTTACATCAACCTGCCTGGCACTGGAAGACATCACTTCTCTCTTTGCTGGGTTCAACAACGAACAGAACTCTGCTAACCGGCACTCCGATCTACAAGCCAACGACAGTGCCGGCCTTGGTCTTTAGGATACGATACTTCTGGGCACCCTTCCGCAGACAAGTAAGCAGCGCTACCGGTTATTCAGTGTGGAGCCCGTACCCTCGAACCCTGACGGTCCCCACAATATCCCCGAATTGAAATGACCTCTGAATCCTTTTGATTTCCTCTTCGCTCGCATTCCGGCCCAAATGCCCTCTCTGGATTCGGTTTTTATCTATTGCAGGGGGTTTACTAATCGGGGGGGATTACGTCCCCCAGCTGCCTCGAGGGCAACCTGCTCCGCAGCCTCTCGGTCGGCGCACGGCCCAATTAAGACCTGCTGAGGCTCCGTTCCCTGGCCTATTCCTCAACACCTCGAACCACGACACCCAGTCCTGGACCCAACCAAGGGCAATGTCAAGCATGAAACGGGATCTCTCAGTGCAGGACCGGGTAGAACTCACATCAGCATCTATACCAGGACCCCGGAAATCCGCAAAAATGGGTGAGTTGGAACCCGAAGAGCTCGACAAGTTCTCAACCCTGACTAGCGCACGCCAGTTCGGGGAATCCAAAAGCAAAACCTGACCAAGAGCTAGGCAGCCAAGCGTAAGAGCAAGCACGGAACATGGTGGATTTCAGCAGCCCAAGCCGTAATTCTGAAACTCATCAGAGCACTCTCATGTTTTGGGGCAGGGTACATGTAGTAGCAAAATTCGCCAAGAAGACAAACCCTGGTCTTCTTGCTATCAGCGAGGTGTCGGGCCCCAGCCTCTCCGGGATACAGGCGCCGCCAAACGGACCTGAACACTTCGCGGTTGCATGTGCGAGCAAAACGGCTGTGCGGGCTTCCCCACCTCAGAGCAACCGGTAGGACTGGCATGGGCTTCCGGCGAGCTCTACATGCAAGCTCAGCGAGGTCAAGATTGTCGAATGGGTTGGGCAAAATGTCGAGAAGGAGCAACCCTTGCAGCAGCACTGTCTTGCTTCTCAAGCCATGGGTCCGGGGACAGTGACAAAATCGCTAGAAATGTTCGAGGCCTGGGGCTTCCGGGCAGAGCTGCTCGCATCGACAAACTACGGTGCTACCACCACGTTCACCTGACAGTCGCCCCGTGGTGCCTGGGCTTTTTGAATTTTGAATCATGCAGAGCGTGCGGAAGACGCATACTGCGCAGATGCTACTCCTCAAAATTCATGTTGGCAACATTTCTGAAGTCCATATGTCCCAAGGCTGGTAAAAGCGACTGGGCCTCCCGGCAGCGTGGGCCGGCCTAGGAGAAAAGCTGCTCCGCAGCGGCGGAGGGTGTTGTTGGACCTGAGTGTTTGTGGTAAGCACGACGTGAGTATGACATTGAGTGAGTCTTTTGAGAGTCGTTGTCGAGGGGTACACAAGGAGGCGAGGGTTACACAAGGAGGCATGTTGAGGCTGTACATGTGGCCTGTGCTTCATCAGGTCTGCCCCTGCTACGCTGGATACGTCGGCGACGCAAATGAGTTCCTGTTTCGGCGCTGTCCAGTCACGCGTCAATGCTACGACCGACCGTTGCGCGCATGAGCCAGCAAACAAACAGACCTCAAAAATCCTTCTACCTGTCACGGCCCGCCACCCATCACGAAGAAGCCGTTGGCGCCACGAAGACTCCTGCCAGGATGCGACTGCACCAGCATTTCATGCTACCTGCCTTCCTCGACACCCTCAGATGCCATCCGCAAACCCTAGCCGCGCCATGAGAAATGAATGTTCATGAACCTGCTCTCCACCATGCAGAACATGTCCTCGTAGATCAGCCTCGTATCTGTTGTTCCGACCTTGGAAAGCCAGGCACATCAATGCAAAGACGGCCCGCTACCATGCAGGAACGTCACATGAACAAACGGACAGACAGACAGACAAACAAACGACCAAGCCACATCAAACCAAACCAAACCAACCAACCAAACAACCAAAAAAACAAAACATAAAAAACATACAAACACACACACACACGTCCAAACTAGCAAACAAGCAAAAAAAAAACAAAACAAACCAACAAAAAAGGAAACAAACCTACATACATACATACATACATACATACATACATACATACATGCATTCATACATGCATACATACATGCATACATACATACATACATACATACATACATACGTACGTACTTACGTATATACTTAGTTACTTACTTACACGCAAACATACATATATGCATGCATGTATGAGGGATGTATACATGCATCCATCCATACATACATACATTATGCACACAAAAACCTACACACACACACACACACTTGCGCACACAACCATGCATGTATGCGGACAAACGTACATGTGCACACACACAGGCATTCATGCATGCATGCGTACACACGTACATACACACACTCAAAAATACGTTTGTCCCTGCGCTCGCGCGCATGAACGCACGTGCGTGCACACACACACACACACAGATGCGTGCTTGTGGCTGCGTGTTATACTAAGTGCTTTCATGACGCTTCATAATCATGTATGTAGGTACCAATCTGCGCTGTTGTGCTATGCCACACTTGAGTGCATCGACAGACGCAGATCGGTTCTGGCTAACATCTGACTATCTGCGACCAATCATTCGGCACTGTGATGTTGTAGCATCTGGTCTTCCCTTCGCAACCAAGGTCCACAGAAGAATCAGACATAACTCATAACAGACATGCACCGCACGCCACACATGTGCAATGTGTACTTTTGTTTGCGCATGCTGCAGCATGCTACGCTACTAAAACTAAGTGGACCCTGAACCAACACGTACGCATCCTAGACATCCAGGAAGTGCAGCAACCACCCCACACTCCAAAGATCCGCTTTACGAAGGCCTTGCTTTCAATCTACTCAATTCCCCGGAAATTACTGAGGCTGCCTGCATGCGTGCAAAAACGCCCCGAAGCACCTCCGGGATGAGGCGAAGGCGCCGGCCGCCCAGGCGCGCTGCAAAGGCGGCGATGTTCCATGACCTCGGATCTTCGGGGCTTAAGCTTCCGCAGAAGCTTCCGCAGTCGGTTCTGTTTTGAGGAGGGCTGCCAGACAGAAAATGAAAAGAAGGCCAACACTCCAAATTAAACAGTCCTCCTGCAAAACAGAAAGCCATACGGTGCACAACAACATTTTTCTGGCACATTGCCGAACACCGTGGTCAGAGCGACAAGCTTTCTTGAAGACAACTCGAGGCCGTCATGGGAAGGGGAATGAGCTCGGCAACACTTACGAACATGATGCAACCGAGAGTTTCCAAATGTTTCCAACAAATCTTCAACCAGCCTAAGCTTTTGAAACATGACATGACGTCCGTTTTTGGGGGCAGGCTTGTTGGGTGCACACCTGGTCTGAAGCTTTTCATTTTCACCCACTTCCAAACTGTATACCGAGCAGGCGCAGGCACTTGCTGAGCTTTGCTGGATCGATCTTATCTGCGACCTTTCTAGAGCCGAACTTCTGGAATTCTGCAAGTCTCTGTAAGGAAAGGCCTTGCTTGTTTGATGTGCGATGACAGCAGAGCAGCCCGAGCGCTTGGACGGTGTAGATGGCCTGTGCCATAGCATAGCAAACTCAGAAATGACGCAGTTGCCGCGAACCTCAACGAAGAGGTGTCCCGGGACGACGAAAGGTACGGCCAGGTCCGGCAGAGAGGGCCCACGACGCAGCGCCACAGCCTGTCGCACACACTCAGAACGGTCAGCCCTACCACGAAGCGCTCAAAGCAGAACCCTGGCAAGTGTGCAGCGAGAAGTGTACAAACTCGTAAGCCTCGCCATGTAAAGTCTTGGTCAAGTCTTGCGAATCTTTCGGCCTGGAGATGAATCTCGCTCGAATCTGCCTTGGGATCCGGCACAGAATCAAGTGTGTTAAAAAGTCTTCTTTGCCCGGCCACTCCCGGCTACGAAATTTCGTGCGAAGCAAGACAGACTCTGCCACAGCAAACAGCTACACAAGCATGCCTCGAGATGCCACAACGCGTTCCGCAAGCACCCGAGCTCGAATCGTCAAAGCGACCGAGGCAGCTTCCAGGTCCTCCAGCTTCAGCATCCCGGCATTCTGGCAAAATCGGCTGAAGATCCGGTAGCGGCGGACCTGGCCAGGGCATGGCCTGGATTCTACGGCACCTTGTGCTGTGACATCTAAGCCGGTCTGACGTCGCATCCATGGAGCAGGAGCAGCAGCAGCAGCAGCAGCAGCAGCAGCAGAACTAGTAGTAGTGGTGCGTAGTAGAGTTGTCGCAATAATCGTCGTAATTGTAGTCGTCGTCGTCGTCGTAGTAGTTAGGAGTATGTAGTAGTAGTAGTAGTAGTAGTAGTAGTAGTAGTAGTAGCAGGAGTAGGAGTTGTTGTCGTAGTAGTAGTTGTAGTAGCAGTAGTAGTAGGTAGC